GTCAAATGAATGATCTAGGAAACCGTAGGTTGCTCAGCTCCATAGGACTCCTTGGAAAAATCATGGAGTGAGTCCTCTTGAAACACGTTATTTGATACATGAAGGAGAAGAGGGGAACTGGAAACAGTCAGCATGGATTTGCCAAGGCTAAATCATGCCTGACCAGCATAGTTGCTTTCTGTGATAGGTTTGTGAATACAGAACAGCAGTGGTCAGCAGTGACTTTAGCAAGGCTCTCAGTGTAGTCTCTCACAGTAGACTTGTATTCAAGTTGGGATGTTACAGTCTAGATGGGTGGCAACCAGGTGGGTAAAAATCTGGTTGTACTCTACGTGGAGGCTAGTAACAAGTGAGGTACCAGAGAATTCTACACTGTGGCCTGTTTAGTGTCTTTAGCAGTGATCTGGAGGTGATGGAGCACGTTCTTGCCTGCAGAAAACACCAAGCTGGGGAAACCAGCTGATATGCTTGAGGGCAGGACTGTTATACAGAGGAAACTAAACAGGCTGGAGGAGTGGGCTGATAGGAACCTTACAAAACGCAGCAAAGTCCTGCACCTAGGAAGGAATAACTCTTTGCAACAGTACAGTCAGAACTGGCAGGAGAGCAACTTTGCCAAGAATGCCTACAACTAAGGAAGGAACAAAAAAAAAAAAGGGAATTTTGGATGGTGAAATAGGAACAAGGGCGTTGACGAGAACGTGTCGTGGGTTAGGCCGCCCCGGCAACCAAACCCTACACAGTCCCCTCTCCCCCTCCCCCTCCCCCAGGGATGAGGGAGAGAATCAAAGAGGAAAAAGAAAAGAGACCCGAGGGTTGAGATAAGAACAATTTACTACTACTGCTACCAATATATATATATGTACGGATATGTACAAGGATAAACATACACAACTGAGTGATGTACGGTGTAATTGCTCACTACCCCTTGACCGAGGCCTGTCTTGTTCCAAAGCTGCAATCCCGAAACGGATAAAACTCGATGCCACAATCCCGGATGAATGGGAGGCCCCGAGACAGAGAGCGAGAGAGAGAGAAAACGCTCTGAGAATCCGAAAGTGAGAGTCCCGGAAGGGCAAAAGCCCTTCTTTCTGGCTGACCCTCACTTTTATACTGGGCATGACGCTGCATGATATGGAATACTAATTGGCCAGTTTGGCCCTCAATCTTAAGTCCAAGTACAAATCATAAGGAGAGTCGTGGACCCCTTTTCCCTGGCTATGCTCCCCCCTTATCCTGTTGTGCTCCTGCACACTGGCAAGAACCTGGCAGCTGAAAAGTCCTTGAGACCTCAGTGCCAACTACAAACATCAGCTTGCTATCAACATTCTTCTCAGAGTGAGCCTCTGAGTAAAACCAAAACACGGAGCTCTTCTAGCTGCTAAAAAGAAGAGCTAACTCTGTCCTAGCTAAAACCAGGACAGAATACTTGCCTGGCAGGGTGTATAAGAGGACTGGGAATCCTGACTCTTCCTTATCTCCATGCTTCTCCTGCATTGTGGTGATCTGTGTCAGTCAGATCATTTAACTTTTGTCCCATCACTCTGTCACTCATAAATGATAGTGATTTGCTTGCAATATTCAGTAGGCCTTTGAGTTCCTTAGGTAAAAAGTGCCTAGATGGGAACCAATCTTAAAAGCTAAGTGACTGATATTAGGAACAAATATAAAACATTTTTTTTTCCCCAGTAACCTGTGTGGTATATTGCTGTCAGAATGTGTTGAGCAAGTAGAAGTGTTAACATGAGTGGAAACAATGAAAGCTGGGAAGTGAAGGAACAGTGTACTGGGGAGACATTCCTCCACTTCAAACATAAGGGAAATGTGGTATAGTCCTGGTTCATGTAATTGCTTTGCACAGTGGAGAGTGAGCCAGTTTTTCAGATTGTGTGCAAGACTTCTGTCTTGCCTGCTTTTCATTGGGTTGCTAGACTGGTGAAGTGGACTTCTTTGCTTCCTTCATATGCTTCATTATGGGGTAAATGGCCTGTGGCAGGTTGCTGAGGTAGGGTCAGAAGGAAAAACAGGTAGTTTTAAAATATCCCCTTGGTATGCTTGTCAAAATAAATCTTGCTAAGTAATGATATATCAAAATCTTACTGTGGTGGTTGTTCCACTTGGGGTAACAGATCTCAGCAGATGGGGAAAATGGTTTGGTGAGGGCTTAAATTCTTCTGTTTTGGTTCTTCCTATTTGTGCACAGATAAAGCTTATATGTGCATATTCTTCCATGTGAAAGTTAAACATAACTAAACAGTAATTTACTATAGGCTGCGTAAAGGATAAAGTAGGAATTTACTTTTTTGCCTGGTCATTCATTTTCTGCCTACTTTGAGGGAAGTGAGTCTTGAAGTTGGGTATACATACATTAATTCTTTGGAATTTAAATGAAGTATTCCTATCTTGCCCCCCAAATAAGTAAGTGCTACTTTAATTTTGTTTAAAGTTATGGGTATACTGCAGGCTTTTTGAGTTATTCCTGCTTTAAAAGACATGTAAGACACACAAGTAAGTAATTCAGTCACAGGAAAACCTTGCAGTAAGATAGGAATTTGAATATGTGTATTTCTGGCTCGAGGAAAAGCACATGTAGCATTCTGATAAATACACAACTTCCAAAATGTTAGTCTTATTAAAAAAAAAAAAATATGATCAGCACTGAAATATCTCAGCTGTCTCTCTGTGTGCAATCACTTAGTTTATTTACCAGGATAGCACTGAGTTTAGTGTTGCAGAACGTAAATAGGTCTGCTTTAACGGTTGTCAGGTTTGACTCTCTCGTTTCTTCCCTGCTCGTTCTTATGGAACCTGCTTACAGAGAATTGAATTCATCATTTTGGGGGTCATTATATCATCTCCTCTGTATTTTGTGGCTGGTTTCTTCAGATAACTTAATGCTGATTTGCTGATCTGTGTTTTTCTTTATGCTTAAAATGACCAATGTGCAAATGGTATTTCAAGACTTCAGCTGACAAGCAGTAATTAAGCGTCACATATCCTAAAAGTAAAGAGTATGGGATAGGTGGCACAGTGTTAAAATGGTTTAGAGTCCAGAGCCACATTCTGGCCATAAATCCTTCTGATAATCATCAAGTCCTTTTGCTGGTCTTTCCAGTTAAGATCTTTGAGAACCCACACTATTACCCCTCAGCAGAAGCCCTCTTCAGCCCCAGGGTATAGGTGTTTGTGAGGGAATGCAGAGTGCTGACTAATGTCTGTAACATTTATAAGAGAAATAGCTTTTGTTTCACAATAAAAACTTGTTACAATGCTAATTAGATAATTCAGACTATACTTGCTTGTTACAAAAGAGAATAAAGTACATATCAGCTCTGTTTCTGAGCTGTGCACCTCGTTTTCTATCTGCCTTCAGCTTCTGCGTGCAAAATTTTTTTTCAGTCATCCATTTTTGCAATGTTTTGTCATGCATCTAAATTAAGCCGGGGAATGGGTCCTCAGAATCTCTTGCTGAGTTGCATTTCAGGTTGTTCATTGCCAGAGAGATTGGTATGTACTTTGTAAAGAACTCTAGTTGTGGTATTTGCAGTTGTTATTAGTACAAATGAATAATTCTATTTTAAGTACCATGTAAAATGAAGGCAGCCAGAAAGCAAGCCAGATTAACAATTCTAGTAGTCTGATTTGCATAGTTCAAAGTCTAGAAAATGCTGCCCATGTGTAGGAGGATTGCTGGTTCTTCTTTAAAGTTGTATTTTAGATTTTTGTTACAGATTTAAAAGTAACTACTTGAGGGTAAAGGGTATGTGGTGGGCATTGCAGTAATTACGTTTCTGAAACTCCTGAAGTTGAAGATGCAATAGAGAGCTTTGAAAGGATAAATATTGTAGTGTAAGTCATTTATTGAACATGTCTTGTTTTAAAAAAAACCTAACAAACAACAAAACCCAGCTCTTAATTAGCTTTAACACCGTATTGACAGTCTTTTGAACAAAGGCAGACAGTCCATTCTCTTCCAAAGATAAGATACTAGTGATGGGAGTTCTCTCCACATTTGCACACGTTTTGCACATACAGCATTTCTGGTTAAATTGTTAGAATTTTGAATAAAAAGGTACTTTTCTTCCTTTTCCCCCTTTTTTCTTTTTTTTTTTCTTTTTTTTTTCTTTTTTTTCCCTTCTTTTTATTAAAGATGTACTTGCCATGTACATGCTCTCACTGTCATTTTTTCAGAAGCAGCAGCAGAGGCAATGGACTTTTTCTGATTTGCCCATGCAACAGTCAGGAGGAAAGGATAATGTAATGAAAATGAGTATTTGGGAACTGCCTGAGCTGGAACTCCTAATTTCAGGAATCTGATAGTATATAGGCTACTAGGCTGTTTCTAGGTCTTACCAGCTGCCAGTTACAAATCCATTGAACTTCTGACCTTATCCATTCTATTAGTATGCACTGTTGTTCCAAACAGGACACTTTCATTGGTCATCTGTGAATTTTTTTCCATGTTTTTATTTATATGTGCATGTATAATACATACACATTTAATAAAATGTCCTTAAAAATCAGCTTGCTTCAGCCTGCATGAAATAATTTCTATACTGGACAATGCTGTAAGCTGTGGCATTTGCGTAACACCATAAACAAGACCACCCTTCCTTGAGGACTTACAGTTGGTGACCTTGGAACCCTCTGTGGATGCAGGGCTACAGCAGCAACTCTGTTCTCCAAATAGGTCTACTGGTTTCTTTTTTCAGAAAGTGGGAAGTCTAGAAGACTGGTTATTTTTGGATGGCTGGGTGCAACAGCGCTTTACATGCATTTTTCTGCTATGAGGTTATGTATTAGCACTCATTGTATGTTAAGCACTTCTTTCCAGGGAGACAAGAATATTCTCTCCCAGAACTTGAAGGCAGAGCAATTAGCTTTCATTTTGTTATTCCAAAAACCTTCGTGCAGTAAGAAAGAGGGATTGATTTCTTTTCTACAGTGGTGTCTGTGCCTCAGCAAATCCTGAAGATGGCATTGGTGTCCTGCTTCTTTCTTCATTCATCTTCAACGTCATCCTCTGCTCTCTGATTCCTTGTAGGCGTCTCCGTGTAGGGTTCATGTCTATCTTCTTGCTCCCTAAAACATTGTTCAGGAGTAGATGTTAATTAAAACCAGCTAGAAATTCTACCAGCTAGGAATTCTATGTGTTAGAATGGTTTTAGACTGCTCTAGGCTGGCCTGGAATTGTACCAAACAGAACTCCGTAAATTAAGTCTTGCTGGTGATGCAAGAGGTGCGTGAGCAACTTTTTTTTCCATAGCACGTATGTACAAAAATGGTGCCTGGTGCGTCTTTTCTCATCCCTCATTTCTTCCAATGGTCTGTTTCCATCATGAGAATAAACAGAAGGTTTCTATCTGGTAGTGATAATTCTAAATACAGAGCCTCATGGTGTTTGAGGCTCGCTAACTCAGTTCCAAGGTTTGAATGTTTGGGTTCTACCTCAGAGACCACAAAAGTGTCTGGTTATACCAGGCATATTCCATGAGAAGAGATGGGAGCCACTAGAGTAGAAACTGAAAGGAGAAAGCAGTGCACACTTTCCTTCATTTCTTTTTCTCCTGTGCTTTCCACTCCACATGTTGATGCCGAAGGGAGAACACAAACCTTTCATATGTTCCATTCAGTTTTCTAAAGAAAAGTACTTACGTCATCTCATAGTCCTTGTCATTGTTCACCCGACAGCAGCAGCAATAGGCTAAAATGCCAATAACTACAATTGCAGCGACAGTTCCACCGATGATGCCAGCGTAAAGAGCTATGTTCATGGATGCTATACAGGAAGAAAAGAATTAGCCCTTTGCAGTGAGAACAATATCAAATGCAATCAGCACAATCACTGGACTTCAAATCCCACCACCAGATGTCAGATCTCACTACCAGATCCAGACTGAGTGGTAGCCACGCTTGTTTGATTACAGCACCTGGAATTAATTCTGTTCTGGGTAGCTGATAAGTCTGCAGGAGCAATTAGTTAGTGATAGGGAGGAGCCCCTGAATCGGAACAACTGCTGTACTTTGTCGATACAGTCTTGTTTCAGACTTTGGGGGCTCAGGCCTATCTGACATTTTTTTTTTGTCGCCTGTGAACTAACGCTATGAGTTAGTGAGTGCTCTGTTAGCTTGTGAACCAATGCAGAGAATCTGTCTTAAAGGTAAAAAAAAGCGTGCTTTTGTTTTCCAGAGAAAGCCGAATTTAATACTTATGTTTGCATTGATTCCATTAATTCTTTGACACTGAGCTAGGGTAATTTCTCTGGTGCTAATTCTCTCTAATTCTTCCAGTAAGCAACCCCATCTCTTACGTGGCACAACGCTGACTGTCATGTTGCAAGATTCCTTTCCCACAGTGTTTGTTGAAGTGCAGATGTAAAAGCCGGAGGTATCCGCAGAGATGTTCTTCAGAGTTATTTGTTCCCCTGTTGTGAAACACAAATCCAGTCCAAAAAAGAAAAGAATTAAAGCAGGGAAGGATGTGGGGACAGCAGCCCTTCAATTCCAGCCCAGGGCTGTGGGAGTGTTGAGAGGTTATTAAAGCTGATGGATTGCTCTGTCTTGCTCAGGAGCTGCCATGCTAGTCCCTAGGTTTCAGTGTGATTTGTGGGAGGACAAACGGAAGTGTGCTGTTTTGATTACAGGGAACGTGGCATTTGAGCATTCCTTTTAGAAAGAAAATTGTAGGTGGAGGGTAAAGAAGTACGTGTGCTTAGTGAAAGCTTTTTTTTACTTTAGATTTTGCTGAGAAATAGAAGATGGCCCAAACCAGCAACTGGCTTTGAGAACTGGTCTTCTGATGAGTTAACTTGTAAAACAACAAAAAGCCCTCAGTTCTTCAGCTGTTAGGATTTCAGATCTGAATCATTCAGCAGTGGGGGAAATAGTTTTCTAGTCTGGGAGAGGCCATGCAGCCTGTGAAAATAAATGAAGGAAAAGAAATGCAGTGACATGGGATTGCTGTGACACTGTTTTCTGTCCAGCCTAACTGAGCTCAGAACCATGTGCTAAAGCTCAGCTCTGTCTGCTCAAGCAGTCAGTTTTCGTTTGTTACATCTCCAGCTGACATTTGTATGTGTAGTCCACACTTTTTGCTTGTGATCTGCTGATAAAGGTCCAGGTTCTTGCTCTAAAAGCAAAAGGCTCTGAATACTTTTCAGTTACTTTCTTGTTTTATTTTCCCTGTGATCTCACTTCTTTCCAGCCCACTCGTGGGACTGGGATTCTGTTTAGTTTCTGCTGGCACCTAGTGCCAGATAGTAAAAGAGCATGCAAACCAAGAAATAACAGACTGCATGCTTGATTATTTTTTTTTTTTTTAGTCTCTACATACTGTCTGTGCTTACTTGTCTCTTTTTGGGGGGCTTTTTTTTTTTTTTCTCTCAGTATGATGTTTATAGCTCTCAGAATTGCTGTCTATAACTGGACTGTAAATCTTTCTATATTAACTCAAAAGTAATTGGCTGGTGAGTCAAATTGGGAATAATGCAGGTCAGATACTGTCAATTTTGGAGCAGCTCCTAAGGGGATTCTGCGCACTGGGACTTGCTTAGCATGGAAAGAAATTGCTTGTAGTGACAGTAGGGCATCCAGCCAGCTTGGGGCAGAAGGGGACAGTCAGCACACTACTTGGACTCCGGTGCTCTGAAGAAAACAGAAGTGAGGTGGATATGGATTAGAAGAGACTCCTGTCCCAGGGAGGAAGAAGATGAGGGTGGAAGCAGGCAGCTTGCTGCTGCTGCTGTAAGACCACAAATCCCAGTATGTTCAGCGTTGTGCACGATGCGTTGGCACCACTTAGTGGCCAGTCCAATGAATAAGGTTTGTGTCCCTGGTGATATTTCATCTTTTGCATAATGTATACAAGAATCGTCTAGTGAGTGTTCAATATCCTGTGGAGTCTGATCAGATTTAGTTTACCTCCAACAATAAGTTAAACCGGGAAGAGTAGGTTCAGATACTCAGTCTTTCTGGAGCTGAACATACAAGGAAGAAACAAAGTTGTTCAAGGAATAAATCTGAGTCCTCTGTCATTGCTACACTTCAAAGAGTAATAAACCCTCATTTCTGTGTGAATAGTTCTACCAAAGGCCCTGTCATGGAAATTCAGTGCATTCCGACTTAAAATGAAGGCAAATAAAATATTGGGGCCTATATGACAGTCCTAAAGAACTAGAAGCTTCTTTTAGCTGAAAGGAGGCATGGTGTAACTTTCACATACCACCTTCCTCTAGGTGAGAAGTCATCCCTGGAAGGAAAGTAGCTTCTAGAGCCAATTTTTGTTTGCTTTCACCTGAGAAAGCAACCTGGTCATTGTAAGCGAGCTGGGATATAAAGACACATCAGTTAGAAAATTCCGTATTACTCCTCATGTTATGCCCCCCTTATGCCCAGCAATTGAGGAGTAATTCTTTCTGGCTGCTTCCAGAATGAGCCAGCTTTCTTGCCAGGTGAGGGCTGAAGTGAAAATCTTACTGGCCATTTTTATTTTAGGTAACAGTTCTTTTCCCCCTGCTAAGTTACTTGTGTGTCCTGTGTCAAAAGGACAACTTTTCAAAATCCTGGTCAGAGAATTTTACAGAAAAAGACTTAAGTGTGTTTTTTGTATTTGCATTTCAAAATCTTTCCAAACCTGATCTACAGAGAGCTCAAAATCTTCATGTCTTTGAATTTGCCATACCTACTGTTGTTTGTAGTACACGGGGCTCATTTTGTACATTGAAGCTTTGCCAGGTATATGTGGGCTTTGGGGAGCCCTCATGAGAAATGCAGGTCAGATTGATTGTCTGTCCATATTCTGCTGTCCCCAAAATCTTGCATTCTGGCTTGGACGGTGCAACTGAAGGAAGAAAAAGGAAGGAATTTTACTAATGGGAAGTAGATTTTTGTTTCAACGCATCTCTTGCACCTGTAGTTTTTATTCTTGCTAAACAGAGGCTGGTCTTGCACCTACCACCTTCTTCTCAAAGGAACTGCAGTGATCTTGTCTATAATTTGTTTCTCCCTTCTTGGCACTGGTGAGCCAAGAAGGAATCTTAAGATGCTTTTTGAGATATGTCTAATAGTGTTGAGTAACTCATCCTTTGATAATTGGAAGATGACAAGCCACAGGGGGAATGAGGAATGCCCTGTAATGAGGCAAGGGTTATTAGGAAAGTGAACTATACAACTCTAAAGATTATTTTCTACAGTCAGGTATCTAAGGGAGTTGGGCGTGCTAAGCCTTCCAACCTACTTCCATAGTAGTAGGAAAAAACCAAAGATGGAATTGTGGATGATGACTTCCAGGGAAAGTTTTTTTCTGTTAGAAAATCTGTTGTCTAAAACAATGTAGATATTAGAGGAAGGACAATGTTTTATCTAATGGATCTGGTGTTGCCTCCATCATGCTTACCAAGGACCAAAAGAGCCAAGATTGCAGTCCGCCTGGGGGGGTCATCCCTTAGACGAACGTTGCATGTGTACGTCCCATTGTCTTCCATGGCCACTGAATCGATGGTGATACTGATGTCCCCTTTGTTTACATCACCAATAAATTGTATACGGTTTTCATAGCCCTTGCCATACTGTACAAGTCCATCAAAATACCTAGTGACAGCGTCATCCTGATAGAGAGGGAGGGAAAATGATCAATCTTTATTTCTTCTGTGTGAGTCTACAACCTAACTCGATTGATTAGCCCACTCTTAAGAGAAAAGCAACTTGGAAAAGAGGGCCTTAAACTGCCTCAGTTTGCCAAAAAGCCAAGAAAAACATAAAAATTCAAAAGGGTCTGGGTTTCTGTCTAGAATCCCCTACTCCCGCTTTATCTGAAGTCAGAGACAACTGATTTCTTGTGCTGGGGCTTATCCACCTTTCCTCTCCATGACAGGACACCATGAGACTTGTCAGAGATCCATATGTCAATCAAATTCCCCTATGATTACACAAACTCTTTTGCCTTCTTCCAGCAAGGATCTTCAGAGAAGAAACTTGACAGTTACTGCAAGGACATCTCCAAAAGCTGCTTCCCCTCTCACTAATTCCCAAGAAGTCAAGGAGAACTTCAGAGGTCTCTTTACCTTCAAATACTCTATATGAATGTAAGAGACCTCATGAATCTCTCCATGTATTATTATCATCAACTTAAAACTTTTTATATAGTATCAAATACACATATAAAAATGTATGTATAATACATATACTTTAAAATATACATATCTTTTTATAAAGTGTCTGAGTATTTAATGTATTTTAACAGATGTAAACCCACACAGTACATACAGTGATGTATCCTCAATAAACAGCTGCAAGACCAAGAGAGAGGAAAGAGAAGGCTGGGGGCTTGCCTAGTATCATGCAATCGATTTGGGATAAATTGCATCTAGAATCAGAGTTTCTGTTTGCGTAGTTCTGAGATTAAAAAAAGTCTTGAAGTAATCTTTTTCTTCCAGCACACACTTCTACCCACAGACCTCCTTCCATCTCTCCTCCCACCCCTCTTGGATGCCCTATCATGCATTTCTTTATGAAATCTGGTTTACCTCACTGTTGATTTTCCTCCAGACAACAAAGTCTGCTGAGGAAACAGAAGCCTCTGTTTTAAAATTACAGCGGAGAGTAGCGTTTTTGCCTCGTGCCACCCGTGTTTCCTTGGCAGGTGCTTCCACAGTGAGGGCATGAGCAGTCACCAGAACTAGAAAGAGAAGAAATTCTGCAGTCAGCAAAATTAACGACATCGGATTCCATGTTTTGTCTCTTCGGCTTTCTTACATGCCACAACCCCACATACCCTCTGTCATCCATGACATTCCCTACTGAGCAAGAGGTGATATATGAGCCTGATGGACTGTAAGAAGCTGCTGCACAGGATGGCTAAGAACTAAACTCTGTTTTCCTTTCCTTGCTTCCCTCTTCTTTACCTGGACATACATTGCCATGGAGGTTATAAAGTTTTTTTTTTTCTGAGCCCTCTTTCAGTGTGACTGACACTCTTTGACAGTTCTAAATGTACACAGCGAGACAGATAAAGAGATAATACAAGTGTACCAGCAGTCTTAAGGATTCAGGCTAAACTAACAAACTGATACCATCATATTTCAAGGATCAGGAAATCTCTCAAATAACTTGCCTCAATCCAAGTCCATACAGAAGTGATGTTTTGTGCGTAGGGAACCAACACCTGTTCATGTAATGCCCTGAAAAGAGAAAAACCTAGAAAAGCAAAGAGAGCTTGAAAGGAACAAGACAAGAGCTGTTTGTTTTTAAAAATGAGTAGGGTAGTAGTCACCTTTCTCCAAGAATTGTAGCTCCTGCCTGTGGAGCACAGGAGTAGCTGAGTTGAACAAAACAGAAATCCCTCTGTTCTCTGGTGAACAATGCAGAGCACAGGGTAGGTGTTTCTTGTACATTGTATTCCATTTGACTTGATGCTGAATTCATCATACCCGAGCTCAGCTACTGGCAGGTCTTAGTTATTCTCAGAATTAGGCTGGTGGTTTACCTCTGCCCTGCCATAGATGACTGTGGAATCCTATGTTTAAAAACACCTGCTTTCTCCTTACAGTTTGTGTGGGTTTTTTTGTCTTTTTTTATGGCACTAAACTAAATAATTTGGAAAAAATCTAAGTCTGAAACCAGTTAGAGAGAGTGCATGGAGGCGTGAAAGGGAGTGCTGCTCAGAGACACTCCCATGGCAAAGAGGAACATGATCCAGTAAGGAGGAAAGTGGAGGAGGGCAGAGATGTATGTTCTCCCCAAGAGGGGCATGCTGTGTGTGGTGGTGAAGGTTTCCTTCTGGAAGAACGAGGTTGAGTCAGTGTTCCCTGGAGAGAATTTGACTGAAAAGTTGCTGTCTAGCAAGCTTTGGGTCCTCATTCTGCCATATCTCTGTCCAGATTAGATCCATAAGGAAGTGTAATGTGTAAGGGAGAGAGAGCAAAGGACATCTAGATTCCACCTTGACTTGGAAACTGATTGTGAATACATGCTTTTTTAGACAGGGAAAAACCACAGACACGTGCATTAGGTCGATAAGAGTCAGCCGTTGGCAAGTTGAGCACTACCAGATCCTTGACTACAGCAGCAGTGAACGGTAGCGTCTCATAGAAAATTACGGCGTAGAGACCCAAAAGGTTTTGTTTTCGCTGCGCTAGCAACCTGCTGGTTGCAATTCAGGTGCTTGCACCAAGTAACATGGGACAGTTGGCATGGTGATCTGCTCCCCCTCGGGAGAGGTAAAAGCATCCGTAACAGCTTCCCAGATCCAGTCCGTTCTCCATAGCAAATGGTCCTTCCAGCCTCTTCTTAGAAATGGCCGATACTTCCCGAACTGCTGCATCTAATAAGGCCAAGTGCAGAGTCCTTCACTTGGGGTATAAAAACCCCAAGCATCGCTATAGGCTCGGGGAAGAGTGGCTGGAGAGCTGCCTGGCAGAGAAGGACCTGGGGGTGTTGGTTGACTACCGGCTTGATATGAGCCAGCAGTGTGCCCAGGTGGCCAAGAAGGCCAATGGGATACTGGCGTGTATCAAGAATAGTGTGACCAGCAGGAGCAGGGAAGTGATCCTGCCCCTGTACTCGGCACTGGTGAGGCCGCACCTGGAATATTGTGTCCAGTTTTGGGCCCCTCGCTTTGAGAGATATTGAGCTCCTGGGGCGAGTCCAGAGAAGGGCGACTAAACTGGTCAAGGGGCTGGAAAATAAAACTTATGAGGAGCGGCTGAGGGAGTTGGGGCTGTTTAGCCTGGAGAAGAGGAGGCTGAGGGGAGACCTGATTACGGCCTATAAATACTTGAGAAAAGATGGTGGGGAGGTAGGGGAAGGGCTCTTTACATTAGTGATGGGTGACAGAACAAGAGGAAATGGGCATAAGCTTAGTCAGGGGAGATTCAGGTTGGATGTTAGGAAGTATTTCTTCTCTGAAAGGGTTGTCAGCCACTGGAATAGGCTGCCCAGGGAGGTGGTTGAGTCCCCATCCCTGGATGTGTTTAAGAAGAGGGTGGATGAACTACTTAGGGATATGGTTTAATGGGGATTAGGGACGGTTGGACTGTATGATCTCTAAGGTCTTTTCCAACCTAGAAATCTATGAAATCTTCCCTCTCCTGAGAGGAGTTTGAGAGGAATTTTCACAGCAGCCAAACCTTTCCCTCCCCTGCACCCCTCCTTCCTTGCTGCCAGGCAGGGATGCCCTCCCTTCCACAGCTGTCTGCAGAAGCAGCTTCAGATATTTTCAGCAGGGGTGCCGAGACTGCCCTCTGCGCTTGTTAGCGTCCCGGTAAGAAGAGGCGGCTGAGTGACCAGAGCAGGAGGCTTCTAGCTGAAGTTCGGATCCTTCTGCATTCCCCATCCCACAACCGAGTTGTTCTGTGGTCTCGCGCAGTTAATTAGTTAAGTGTGCGGTTTAGCCTCTCCCTCGGTGACTACATGGCGGTTTCTGTTCTCTCTGAGGTTAGTTCATTTACGGCTGCTGAAAGCTCCGAGGAGGAAACCAGCAGGGCAAAGTATTTCTAGCATGGTTTTATTGCAGCCGCTCCCAGTGCTTTCCCTGCTCTGGAGCACCCAGTGCCAAGGGCTGTGTTTGCACAGCCCGGGGGCTCTTTCTGACTGCATTTTAAATCATGAGCTCTGTTTGAGAGACACCTATGAAAGCTTTCTTGTTGCCTGTCCTGACTGGATAGAGACACTTTCCAGCACCTAGGTGAAAAGCACCACCATCTCTGCTAGGAAATGGAGCAAAGCCCATTTCCTGATCCTTTTGTCACTCAGAAACTGGTTCCACCTGGCCAGGACAGGTCATTAACTCAGCCCTGAGGCAGAGAAGAGACTGCCCAACCCTCAGGCTTCCCTTCACAAGTCCTTTTCCTTCTTCCAGTTGAAAGACTCAATTCCTACAATAAATGAGATCTGTTTGCTTTTTTCCAAACGTCTTCAGTGCCGAGTTGGGGAACAGCTGGACCAAACACCGCGTACAAGAGATACAGCCCATAACAAGCAAGTCTGCTTATTCATCTGTCGCTGTCACCCTAATGCCTGAATTACTCTGAAGCTCTCCTGTTTTTCACCCACGACATCTTCTGGCTCCCACTCCTCCCTTGTTAGGGCTCCTTCTGGCTCTCAGGAAAGCTGCATGGTTTTGTTCTGGGACGCCATTTACTCACGCTGATTTCCCTCTTCCTCCTTCTCACCACATTTCACTTCTTCACAAAGTCACCAACAGCCAGCTAGTCACAGTCAGCATGTCTAAAAGCTGGGGTTTATTCTTCAGGGGTTCTTTTGTTGTTGTTTTGTTTTTTTTTTTCTGAGAGAAAACAGAATCTATCCAAAGTACAGTTGAAGGGAGGGGATGGCCAATTCTGAAACAACTTCAGAAAAAAAGAGGACGAATAGCCTATATAGTACGAGAAGGATGGCATCACCTAGACTTAAGCCTTAGGGTTACTTTTTTGTGTGTTATCAATCATATATCAATGTTTATAACATTTTAAGAAATAGAGAAATGTTTTATCTCCCTCTGCTCAACTTAAACATTTCTACTTGTACAAAGGAAGAAGAAAATCAAAGTGACGTGTCTACTTTCACATTCCTTACTAAGTGTTAATCGAAACAGAATGAAAGGCTGGAAACAACTAGAGGAATATTTTGTTTGCTGAAAAAATTGAGATTCTAATCAAGTAAAATTACTATTGCTGATTTGTATTGGTAGATTTGGTTAGTGAGAAAAGGAGGAAAAGTGGAAATGTTTTGTGTAAAACGTTTTACCAGGAAATGCTTCGACTTTTAATTCCTCAATACTTTCCCTCAGAATTTAGCTGAAATTTAATTCCAAAGTGGGAGAGGGGAAACCTCTTACATGTGAAATTTGCAGTAAAGGTAAATATTTTGTTTGATTCAGAATGACCGTTTGGGGCTTTTCCTTCAGCAAGAAGTTCACAGCACCAGTTATTCACACAACTGCAGCAAAAAGCTGTACAGCAGGAGAAGTCAGCCTGTGCTGAGATCCTGATACAACTCATTCAGGGCAGCTCTGGCATCCCAACACTGCACTGTCATGTGCTGGGAAGTTTCTCCACACCAGCGCAGTGCTGGAATCTACTATACCTTCTCCAAAAATTTTTCACAGGCTAGTATTTTAACACTGAATTATTACTGTTTGAGTCCTGCTCAAACAGGCAAGAAAAGCTTCATCCAACATACATCATTCTGCTCTGAAAAGCTTCTTTCCCATCTATAATTTGGATAGCACGAATGGTGAGAATATTGAAAAAGGAGGATGAATACCGATGGCGTTACACAATTTACATAACGATCATGAAATCATGACCCAAGTCACATTTTTTGCAAATGGAACACATCCGCTTTTTCTAATTATGTTAAAACTTTGTGAATTTCCTTCTTGTGGGTCTTATTTGAAGTGTGGTTTTCAGGATTTTTTACAAAAAACCCAAGCAATTTCCATGTGCATAGCTTTCTTTGAAGCCTGGAAGAAGGCGTAGGAGCTTTGTTGGTAGGAGACGAGACAGGTCAAAAAGCAGTGAAACTGAGACCGAAGGCTCTGCAAGGCAGGATGAGAAAGACCAAGTCGTGACAAAGGCCAAGGGCGAGCTGGCTGATTTATATGCGTTAGTAGGGATTGTTGTGCATCCCCTTGATGTGAATAATATGGAGAGATCACAAGTTGTATTGGAGTACATATAAACAGTGGGATTTAGACTTACAGATGCTACACGCGGATTTA